TGTCTTCTCTGTATGGATTGGCATTGCATACAGTCACGGCTGGAAAAGGCATGTCACGCTCGGCTTCAATTTCGACCTTGGTTTGTGTTGGATAGGCTAAATACTGAAGTGCGGAGGAGATCACAAAGTAGAGCATTAGACCGAATGCTACGAAGAAAGTGACGACCCAGAATGTTCGGTGCCACGTACCCTGCGCGTCGCCGACATTGCGTAGACCATGGGTCGCAGTCTTGATCAGATAATCCGCGAGAATTGAACGACGGCGACGCTCGACGATAGAACGAGGTATCGATGGCTCTTTTGGATCCTTCATTGAATGTATTCCGTTGCTTTTCTAGTTCTGCTCACTAAGCAGTTGAGTGATATTACTGCCTTATATAAAGAAAAGAGAAAGAAGCAAAAGTAATCAAACCCAACCGTCTCAAATGCAAGCGTAGCTATCGGTAACTTTTTGATCCGTCAACATGTCAACAAGACGAGCACTAGAGATCGGTGAACAAACAACTAACACAACAAGATCATAGAGTGATGTCAAGTGCCTTGTTCACGATCGCAACCGTCTCAATTTCTTTCGGTTCATTCTCTTCTTCTTTGCCGATGACTAGAACAAAAACAAAGAGAAAGAGAGAGAGAATCAACTGTAAAGTGTTTGATGCCATCGATGCTGATTATGCTTAATTACATTTCCTACTAAGTTGCGGAAAATGCCTTGTCACGCATTTGGAAAATATTTTTTTTTGTATGGTAAAGAAAAAAAAGTGTGCAAATATATTTCCGAAGATGAACAACATAGTTCATTTTCTTTTATGTGCCGTCCGTCTCTTTGTTATTTTTAGTATTGTTTTAACAGCAGAGACAAAATTCATTTTAAATTCAATTTTTTATTTAATTAAATGACGTAGGTTTCTCAATCTTGAGTTGCATCTTCAGACGGTAAAAGGATCAAACTGAATTAAAATACAACTTAGGAAATAAACCAAATAACAACAAAATTAGTCATACAATACAACGAAAAATAATTTACCACAATAAAGTGCTCAATATAATTGGGAAATTTTTTATTTATTTATTATAAGCAAACAAACAAGATATCCACTATACATTGTGATATAGAATATTCTTTTTCTTTCTGCCTATCGATCCTTTCTTTCGTTGATAGTATTGTCCCTTCTCTCTTCTCTCTCTTGTCCTTTTCTCTTCTTTGATCTATGTGATTTAAACTATTTTTTCCAAAGTATATCTTAGGTGGAATTAAACCTAAAAACCATTACGTTTTCTTCTTTACTATATATACTTGCGCTTTCTAAAAATAAAGGAAGAAAAACTTTCACAAGACGAAAATAATATCTATTGAACCAAAATCGATAGAAGCTGTAATACTTATTTGTTTAGAAAAACAAATAAGTCCTTATGCCGTCCACTATTTTTCTCCTGCGTCTTGAAGCATTTTCATTTTAACTTTTGGTTTGAATGCTGCTCCACCTTCTGTGTACACGATGGCAGGAGGGGAGCGGACAGTCTTATTAAGAATTGGTTTGTGTTTAACAATCCCTAAGGATCCCAGAGTAAGTAGGTAGAATCCTTTGTTGTCTTTACTAATGATTTTCAAGTTTTTTCAATCTATTGTGTATTCTGTTTCAATTTCATGCTGGTGAAAGCAGATTTAGTAGCAGAAGAGACTGTCGAACTCGTAGACTCTTCTTCAATAGCAACATCTAATAACTTTTCATTAAGTGAATAATTGGCGATCTTTTTCTTTTCGACAAAAGCGTCTGCTTAGTCTGATTTCAGATACTTTTTCGTTTAAATCATATTGAAAAATAAATCAGTGTTTGTAAAAATATTTCTTGTTTAAATTTGAAATGATATTTTTTTGACAGAGACATTGTATATAAATGAGTATACGATTATTTTCTGATCCGATTCATGACCACTAAAGAAGGTGTTTAAAAATGTAGGTTAGATTCTTTTTCTATCTTCATAGTTTATTTTTGTTTTCTCAAGTTAGAATATTTCAGCAAAATAGTAGGATGTGGGGATGGGTGTATACGGGCTAAGAGAGTAGGAGCATCCCGATACCCCACACATCCACGCACCCTTTTTTCCTTGATAAAATTTCAGTGCTCACGACAAGTTGAAATCGATGCGTCGAAATGTCTATCAAATGGCCGGTTGGATGAATTGTAGAATGGTTTTCACCAATCTTCCCTTGATAGCATTGACTGACTACTTCTAATTCTGGAATCGAACCAACGCTCAATGATAAAACAATCATTTATCTACTATTTCTCAGATCGAATTGAACCAAAATGAAAAAATGTGCTCATTGCAAATAAGCATTTAACTTTATCCTTCATACATCTAAACTATGGTAAAGTAGCAAATAGTAGTATCGTCTTCATGCTTACACCATTGTCAAAATGAATTTCATACACGATTGACTCGTATTTAGATTGTTGCTCTGCTTCTTCACAATAGATCGAAGCAACTTTTTAAATTCATATAGGCGGCAAGAAAAATTATTTTTTATTATAATTGAAACTTTTCAAAACTTATAGTCTGCACACGATACAGTATGCAAACATGTACCAATTGATCTCGTTGTTTCATTTGAAGATTTTGCAAGTAAACGCGATTTTCTGAGAGTTTCTCGCAAATATATATTTTTTTAGTTTTCTCGTTCTAGTGGCAATGTTCTATAATTTCTAATTTTTTTTTTCAACTTCAAAACGCCTACACATTATTAGTTTTCAAATTTTTACAAAATTCAAGTAATACGAATGGCTCTTTAATAATAACTGTGATATATAGAGCAACAGTCAGAGTAGTGCATTTATTTTAATAGAAACAGAACTAATCAATTACAAGTGTTTTAATTTTTTTTAAAAATACTTCACTAAAGTATCATAATCAATTCAATTATTAATATGACTTGAACAGCCAGAATGACAATTTATCATCCTACAGATCCTGAAACTGCGCATTTTATATTTCTATTACTTTTTCTCACAACATTACATCGACAACGACGTCTATCAAGAATAGCTTGACAATTTCTTTTGTCATAGCCAGTTCGAACTGCAAGCATTCTATGATGAGAGAAAAAAACAAATTTCTTTTTATTAATTTGATTATACCCTGATGATACTTTTAAAGTGAATCCTATTCATCAATATATTTGTAGATCTTCTTAACCATACAGCCAAATTCATATGAAAAAAGAATGTTTGCCTCATGTAACATAGTTGAATTTCTCATTGTAAACTAGAATTATGGAGAGAGAATATCCACTGGTGCTAAATCACTTCATTTGAATGAATCAAAGTTATATGAAAGCGAATATGCTGATCGCAAATATCTGTCTAGTAGACCAATGGGAAGTCTTCCATATGACTTTAATAAAATTTGAATATTCCCGAAGCTCGAAAATATATCTTGGCTTTTTCAAGATTTTCTAAATTTAGCCAGAGAAATCAAAGGTCCAAATATTGTAAATTCATTCCAATGTATCTCGAACAGATATTATGTGCAATACCAAATGTCAATTAGCTCTGTCATGCATTTTACTAATACTATCTATGTTTGGAGACGATCGGCATTACAGAGGGCCACTTTAATTTGAACTAAATCAAAGTTAAAGTGATGTCTTTTTTCAGTTTTAAATATTTGGTTGTGTGTAGCAACCTACTATAAAAAATATTGTAAAAGTCACGGTTACCTGTACCAGATAAATGTTATACAGCCATTGCACGCTGGTTTCTGATGAAAAGATCCTATGATGTCAAATCTCTTTGATGCAAATTTTTTTCTCTATCAGAATCTATAAGAACTTTTCAGATGTTCAAGTCTTTTTCTATTCGATAGATTGCAAATACCGTCTCGTTTGGACCATATTGTTACAAATAATGACTTTTCTGAGTCCGACAAACGTATAGGTTTTACGAGTGCATCAGGGAGATTTTTCTCACGAATATGTACGGCAATGCACTCTTACTGATGAGATAATTATCAAAATGGAATTAGATGTGCAGTAAAGCACTTTTGTTCTAATCATTAGTCTTGAGGCGCAATTCATAATTTTTGACTGCTATTCGACAATTTTCGAACACGATAATCCAAGTTTGATTTCAAACAAATATCATACATGGAGCCAACAGAAAAAATTTGAATCAATTTATGTGTTTCAAATTGTTTCTGCAATTTTCGTTTTTCATTGAAATTTTGGCTCCGGGCACCCTTCAAGAATATATTGAAAAATGAATTCCAACAAGACAACTATTTTTAAGTTTAGTGACTTGCACTTGTGACTTCAAAAGGTATTTTACGAGTTCAGAGCTTCATTTTGCTGCTCAAACCATTTTATGATGGAACTGATTTTTTAAAATATTGTTTGATGGGAACCAGAAAGTCAAAATCTCACTCAAAAAACAGTGTCTCATAAACGATTTGAAACACACATAAATTGACTCGGCTTTTGTATTGATTTCAAATATTATGTTTATTTGAAATCAAATGGGGATTATTCTGTTTGAAAAGTTGTTAGCGCAATCTCTGCGGGATTGAAATGTGAAACACGATGTAACTGCTGTTGCTAATTACTTGAAAACTGTTTCCTTTGAACTCTCTTGCGAAACAATAGCTGACAACCATTTACCTTATCCTCTAGAACTACAATAAAGAAACAGTTCATCTATACTAATGATATCTCATTGACATACGATTTTTGATCGTATATCAATGACGTCTGTCATGGTCTATGATGCCTCTGAAACTCGTCCGTCACTCTCTGTGATGCCTTTTTAATCCTGTCTATCACGGTCTGTGGGAGAGAGGGTGAGGTGTCGGGGTGTTTATACTCTCTTAATCCGTATACACCCATTCCCACACCCATACATAAAAAATCTGTAACTAGAATCTAAAAGAAAGCATCTTTTATTCAGCTCATCTTGTCTCTAATAAATTACGAAAGATGAACCAAAACACTTACGAACAACAGTTAGTTCCACTTCTGCTACATGAGCTTTGTTGACAATCTCCTGTTTTCCATGAATCATTAAAATTTCGTAGTTCGCCATCTATTACTCCGCAATTACCTTGAATAATGAATTTTTTTTTGAATACTGTATTTATTTTTCTTCAACAGTTAAATTACTCACATCAATTTTGATCTGGCAATGGTTTGACGGAACATTGTGCCTAAATGATACTAAACACTGGCGTAACAATGATTAATATGACGAATAATAGTCTCATTCTCATAGAATAAAATAAAGTAGTACAATAATCTTGTTGAGATGTATTTTTTTTATCATT